TCCTCATTAGGCTTTTATTAAATGCCGTCTTTAAGGTTACTGTGCGAGGTGATTTCATTTTAATGGTGCCATACAGTTCTCCAGATAGCAATCTAGTTATGGACATGGAAATAAGAAGAAAGGAGCAGAAGTTGGAAAACTGTAAGAAATAGAACTGGGACAGAGAGACAGAGAGAGACAGAGAGAGAGAGGGGGGAATAATCAAAAAGATTTTGGAGAGGAAACAGACCAGGATGTAGAGACAGACAGACTGAAGCGGCGTTAAAGAGGCGGAGGGTTAAAAGGCTCTGCATGTGTGTGTGTGTGTGTGTGTGTGTTCAGGCTACAGTGTCGTCGTGTCTGGTGTAGCTTTCTGTCTGCCTCCAGTGTGTCACACAGCAGTCACAGTTGCTACTGTCACACTGACATTTGTCACATTCAGATGCCACATTCACACTGTGATCTCAGTGTCTGAATGACAGCGAGTTCTCTCCGACTTCAACACGTTCCACACGCACACAAACATCCAAACTCCCATTTTCCAACATCTCCGTAGCCTTTAGCGATGTACATCTTTATATTATTTTGACATTTTTATTTTCTGATCATAACATGCCTCTCATCTTACTGGAACTCTCCAATCTATAGGTGAACGTTAGAGGCCACGCCGGTGGTGATGGACCGTAGATCAATATCCCAGGAAGTAAAAAGCTGTAGCAGGATTATCAGACACAGACTTGGGAATGTTGACTATATGAACTATTTTACTTTGTCCAGGGAATCGCGTTTAGAATTCCTAAATTGAAATTACTCTTGTTAAATGCATAAACATTAAGGTGTTAAATAGTTTTTTTTTTTTTTTTTACTTCAACAAATGATGAAAAATATGTTTTATAACATGCAAACAAACAGAAATAAGAAGGTAAAGTAACAGTTTTTATTTACCAACTAGAAAATAATGTATTTACATTATTAACTGTAAATAGAACAATTACAGTTAATAATGTGTGGTGTAATGCCAGCCCCATGCTGGAATAAATAATAAATCAGTGCAATAGTGCAACCATTAGTTCAGGTTACTAACGAGTTACTGATAACCTCAGATATTGGACCAGTTTTCTTTTAAAAGAAATTCCAAGTGTTCAGTGCTTAGTCCTGTTGAATCATTCTATCCATAGTTCTTTAAGATATTGTTTTTCTCATAATATCATTTCAACCTCGATTATTATACTGACTGTATTATATCAAACAGTGTCTTTAACTTAATCCCAGGTTCCACTGAGCAGTGTCTCTAGCAAAGAAAGAAAAGGAAAAAAGAAACAGGTAATAAAACTGTTACGTAAAACAAAAGACGAAACTGTCAGAGAAGGCTGACAAACACCAGGGATGGAAAGACAATACCAGTTATATTTGTTTGAAAAACTATATTTTGGCTTTGACGGTTAACGGTTTATTGTTTTCTTGTATATTGGGACTTTATTTTGTTTTCCTTTTCTATTGTTATTTTTGTGATCTATATTCCTGCCACCAATTTTATTTGATTTACACCTGCTTTCTGCACAATCACAGCTCCATTTCACTGTCATGTGACAAAGATTCTTGACACTGGGGAAACACTACACTGTAGAGTACCAGAGAACTACAAAGAAGGCACGCCCAGGGGCAGATGAACTGCAGGACAGGAGGGGGCAGCAGAGAGGAGACAGGAACAGGAACCTGGGAAAACCTAATCCCATTCATATATACAGTACCAAGAACGTTTTATGTAGAACACATGAGCCAAACAACTAGGATGTTTGCATGGCACACTCCCACAACGGCACATGTCACAAGCACAAAGAATTGTGGGAAATGACAGTGATAGCACTGTGTGGATGGCAAGGATGGACATTTGTGTTTCGTAATTAGAAAACGTCAAAATGTTCAACCCCTCCGTGCGGCCAGGACAGACCAGGGCGAATGACACAAAAGTTGCCAGGCTCACAGGAAAATAAAGATCTGCCCCGATGATGTGTTCAAAACAAACTGCGTGAACTTCCAAACGGGGTCTGAGAGAATAATGGGACGTCATTTTTAGCCATGGTGGAGCGAACAAATTGGTTCTTTGCAGAGTTGGTGTCAGCCTTTAGACAGAACAAGAGAGACGACTTAGCTGGTGGAACTGAGGTGACAGGTGGATGGATCCAAGTAACCGTGGTTAGCAATGAAAAACATCAGACAGTGGAGAGGAGAAAAGAAGAAGAGGTGGTAGAGGGGAGTGTCGGGGCTGACGTGTGACAGAATAATACTGGCAAGACTAGAAGGGACGGTCTAATAGACAGTGGTCCGACCTGCTCAGTTGTCAGTGGTACCGATTAAAGACAGCAGGCTGTAGAAAGGAACGGCTTAGGGTTAGCATTTTAAAGACAGAATTAGTGAGGCAACGCTAGGACTAGCATCAAATGAGAAGCACCACAATCCTAATGTGTTCAAAGAAGCCTCAGCAGCCACAGACCACACCCCCACAATCAACCAACAAATCAGAATGGCATGTCTGAGTCACAGTCTCACGAACACGTACATGTGTGTAAATGATATGCAGCAAACCTTTTTGCTTCGTGAATGGCAGTGATTGTGTTCTGGTTTGAATGACTGACGACGTCGGCAGCACGGTGGAAACGGTGGCTTAGCCTCTTATTCCAAGGCGCTAACAGCAGTTAGGATTTGGTGGCAGTGGTTGGACCATTGACTCTGCTGCAATGCTGGGACACATTGAAGCCATCTGTTGTAGGTGGACTCAGGTCGTTGTTGAGACTCACGAGTTTCAGTTTCACGACACCATCACTGACTATGTCAAGACTATGATTTTTTTTTAAAGAAGTAACAAAAGGCAAAAAAGATGCGACGCTGAGGCAGAATGATGACTGCGTTCTATTATTAGTCGGGCGTATTCCTCCGACAGAGGAAATAGTGAGGCACTTTCACTTTGCAGATCGATCCCTCCATTCTGGGAAGACAGCCAGAACAATACACTATCTCTCCATCTATCTATGCCTTCTCTCCATTCTCTGCTCCTTTTTATCTGTATACATCTGTCATTTGATTTCTCTTATGTTTTCTCAGATAATTGCTTTTCACTGCAGATAATTCTTGAAGTAAAGTCCGTCTCGGATGACCAAATTGTCGTAAAAAAAAAAAAAAAAGAAGCCATAAGCCCCCACAGTCCCTGTAAAACGGAAACTAAGCCTCTACTTACAGCATGTGATAAAAGTAAGAAACACAGAATATCAGAGTGAGTTTTGCCCGTGGAGGAGCGAGGATGTGTGTGTTATCTTGATGGCGGCGTTCGCCCGGTGCCAGAAAGCAGGGACTGATTATCAGGACTTTAAGGTCACAGCAATAAAAGCCAGAGAAGCACTGATGAAATATGATTCCAGTCAAACACATTTATTACTCTACTTGCTGTAACTTACCAGCAGCACTGGCATTTAATTGAAATTGCTAAGCATGGAGATTTCAACAACACTACATCTCTCAGCGTTTAATGTGCTGCTGCCGCATAGATGGAGTAAAAAAAAAAAAAAAAAAAAAAAAAAGACACCGTGTGACTTATCAACCCGGGGCCAATAAATAAGAACTGCTAGGCCTGTGAGAAGATTTTAAAATGTGAAAGGTAAAAAACAAACGAAACAAAAAAAGTTGTTTTCGTTTGTTCTCATCCTCAGTGAAGTATTTCAATAAGAGGCTGGTGTTCACTAAGTGACTCTGGACTCTGATAAACTGCCTGGTTCTTACTTCTCATCAGAAAAGTAGATTTTACATTTATTCCTGTGGAAGGAAACCAGACGACGATGTCTGTTGAACAGAGTTAGGTCTGAACAGGAGCTACACCGAAAACTAACACAGGACAAAATAATGTGAATAATTCAGGGGGATTGGGGAGAGAACAGAGACCCCCAGACAGTAGAAAATCTTCACATCTTGTGCAGTTAAATGTGTGCTACATTGGCTTTAATCACCACGAAGTGAACTGTATGTTTTTACAAAGATCACATTTGTGTAACACTCCCAGAGACCTCATTCAGCCCACTTATAGGAACGTTCTTGAGCTCGACTGGTCTGCCTGCAGTCTATCCCAGGCCCCTAATTAAAAACCCATTAAATGGCTTGTCATGAAAAGGAGAATCAGACCAAAGCGTCTCGAGCCTTTTTATCTGCAAAAATGAGCAAACATTTTCTACAGTAAAGCTGCCACAACTAGAAAAAAAAAAAAAAAAAGAAATCACACATTAATAAGGGCCAATGCAACGGCAATGTCACTATTAAAAAAAGTCAATATTTAAAAAGAAGAAATCACAGTTATTGTGACGACGACTAGTGGCTCTATATAAAGTAGAACAACAGCCTGAAACTGAGCAGCACCAGGACAGTGGATGAAACTGTCCTCCTCCCTGATGACTGAGGATTCAAGAGAATTAGCCAACAACAGATTTGACTTTTTTTTCTGAAACAGTATTTTCTACATTCACATACGTCTGTGACTGAAGCCATCGGAGGGGTGTTCCCTATGTCAGGGAGTCAAACACTTCATGAACTAAAGCAGAGCAGAAGGACAATCCTTCACTGTCACAGATTCATCTTCCAAACACACACACACACACACACAAACACACACATGCTGTGAGAGTTAATTTACAGCACATTTCTTTGCATCACAAACCGTTTCCATGTGAGACACTGACATCAAAACAAATACACTGCGTAAAACAGGTGCACAAATAAACCAACTCAGCAGAACAGTCAGTGCTGCCGTCAGTGCTGCCATCAGTGCTGCAGTCAGTGCTGCCGTCAGTGCTGCAGTCAGTGCAGACCAGTGGCTCAGCCAGAGAGAATCAACTGTCCTGATAAAGTCATATTTAAAGTTAGACTCTGGACACTGTCTGCTGCAGCTTTAGTTGAATCCTAGTCTCAGCCTTTTCTCTAACTCTAAGTGTTTTTCATTTTCTAAAGAAGGAGCTCAGCAGAGACAGTTTATTGCTCACCTTTGTGGTTTTTCTCTCCCAGGTTCTCCATTCCCTCTCCATCCACCTGTTCCTGTTCCTGTTCCTGTGATTCCGTTTATGGTGATTGCTCAACTGTCCCCACCTGTGTCTTGTTAGCTCTGCCCATCCTTCATTTCCATGTGATCCTAGACCCAAACCAACTCTGGAGTGATTTTACAAAGGGTTTTGGAGGACAGAATCTCACAATTAAAGATAAAATTAAAATAATGTTACTTTTTCTTCATGTGCGACCGAAGCCCTAACGACAGCCTGATACAGGTGTCAGTGTGTTGGCTGCAGACGTCTGCTTTACTGCACACTTGCTTAAAGAGTGTATTGTTAGTATCAGAGAGCCAAGTGTCACAAAGACTGTCACAGACAGAGACGATCTTCGTGAGCACACCTCGTCTTCGACTGTTCCTGTGCCAGTTTGTGCTTAACCTTCCCACGCGGTCAAAGCAACAGAGACCGAGCGTCGTAGCTAACAACAGCTCCCTGTAATACGGAGGTGTTGACAGACAGAACTCCTGCAGGACTTCTACAACACACCAGCAGCAGTGAGAGTGGCACACGAGCACGGGACGTGACGTGACACACTGAGAATCTCTGCGACAGTGTAGGATCCTGGGTACATCAATAATGCAGCACCTCTGACAACTGGAGGAATCAAACTCCGTCGACCGTCTCACTCCATCATCCCCCTGTCCCCCCCACTTCTTCTCCACCCCCCATTTGTCTTTGCTCACTAAGTTACTTTCTCCTCTGTTACACCATGAGAGTGGAGTGTAAATAACCACGAAGGCATCAAGAAAAAAATACATTGGATTTCAAACTTGCCATTTAGATTTTAAATGAATGGCTAATAAACTTAGAGTATAATAAAAACTGTTGATTTTATGATTTTTTTAATACGTTTTAATAATAGTAAAGATGCTGATGATACGACACCTATCAAACAGCCTGCACTCTGCTGTAGTAAAACTAATGAAGACATGAGGATTTATTTTTTATTTTTTAAATTATACTGTCACAGCAGTTACTTCACCAACAGCTGCCCTCTTTCCTCCTCCATCTCTATTAAGGTGGTGTCATACTGTGGTCTGTGGTGTGTCTGTGGTTTCACTGTGGTCTGTGGTGTGTCTATGGTTACACTGTGGTCTGCCGCCAGTTGTACATCTGGCAAAGTCTCAAATACTTGACTCAAATATTGTCATTTTATATTGAGACACCAACACCATATGGTTGTGGAGAAAACCCTTTTCAAACATCTGTGTTTAAATGATTCATTTTACTCATCATTACAGACAATCTGCAAAAAACAAAAACAAACAAAAAAAGACAACTGCCACACTAAACATGGCAAAAAAATGCCAGGAGATTGTAAAATGTTTCCAAATGATTGGTTGAGCCTACGTTGTTGTGAACATGTTTAAGGTTTGGCCATCACGGATAAGACTTGATGAAGTTCCTTATCTGTAAGTTTAAACATCTTTTCTAAGGTGATGCTAAAGACATTCAGACCTGTCACCATGAAGTGATTATATCATAAAAACCTCCAGTGAGTTCAGAAGTCAGGAGCAGAACCATTTGCTGAATTTAGGGAATATTTAGGGAATATTCAATGAGAATCTGTCACACTACCATGATGTAAACAGTCACGTTGGTTATTACTAATAGATGCTCTTTACACAGTATCACAAGATCAGATAAAAATCACTGCAAATCAGGCTCTATATTAAAGGAAGAAAGCCAAGCTGAGTTCACAGGGACTGATCGACATCACTTCATGAGACCGACCACAAATATGTTCTTCTTCATGTGGTTACAGGAGTCCATGTTTTGGGACCATGAATGCTGAGCATCAGATCGTGTGCTACACAAATGAGCTCAGTAGATATTTGGTGAGTGTGTGATTGACTGACCACAAGGCTCTGGACTAACATTGGAATTCCGCCTATGCCTATGTCACCAACACAGTGGTGACATCATCATGTAGGACATAAAAACATAATGAAGCCATAATGAAGTGTATGTTGTACAACCAGTGAATGTAAACAGAGTCGTCTTCTGTGTATGATGTATGGTATTTTTCCATTGGTTTCTGCACAAAATTAATTTTAAGACTTTTTAGAAAATATTGGGAGATGGCGACGTGACCACAAAACACCGTAGGTCGAGGACATCGAAAACCAAGGACAGCCTTTACACAAATGTTTACTCACCAGTTTCCTTTTAGATTTCCCAGTTCCCAAGCCCTTTAGTAAAAAAACGGAGATTTAAATGTCTAACACGGCCTCTGTGCCGTGGTTTCTCAGGTCCAGTGTCTACAGCACAGCGAACACATAAAGAGCATTACCAGGTTTATTTTACTGCATGTGTATGAAGTATATCAAGTTGAATGCATTCTCTGTGAAGAAATAAAAGTTCAACAGTAAAAAAAAGAAAGAATGCGAGCCACAAGCTAACTGTTAGCTACAGCCTGTATATCTGAGTGATAATTGTGTGGGTGTATCTATGTCTATAATAAACAGATATCTGTCTGCCACCGGCACATTGTTCAGTCACTTAGTGAGCCTGTCACATCAGCTACATCCACGACATTGTACAAACACACACACACACACACACACACACACACACAGTGACACGTCTCTCATAACCAAAGAGCAGTGTCTGGAGGAGACACAGCAGCCATCTGTAGCCATGACAGATGAGAGCTGCTGGAAACATTGGAATGTGTACATACAGACACAAAGGAGGGAGCCGCAGGCCTGCTGGAGTTTGGATGTCACTGCAACGGATGTCACCAACTGCCATGCCTTTGTTATGCCACATAAGTCTGTATTGTCTGGTTGTCTGTGTGTGTGTGTGTGTGTGTGAAGTCCCCCTCTTTGTCACTGCTCTTTATGCTCTGCCTTTTTAAACATACTTCTGTGTTTTTCTATAGGTCACGGAGGATAACAGCATCAGACCTATTTTCAGCCCAGGCTCCTTATTTTGCAGACACCTGTTCTCACATAGTTGAATGGAGGGGAATACAACGTACAACATCTCCAAATGTATGGCAAGGTTGGAAACATTTACTGTCGCTCTGATACCCAGTCCAAACACATGTTGTTATTTGGACAAACTGCTGGAAAGAGTTTTCGTTTCATGAAGTAGCTGCATTTTAAAATATCACTCCGACGCCCAGCAAGGATCTGTGGAGGGTTCAACTCCCAGTGTATGGCTGACAAGCTGACTGACACCACTGCCAAATGGAGACTGATTAATACTGTTGAGGACCAGGACCGACACATTTGGAAATAAAAACTGGTGTGAAACACAAACGCTGCTGTTTGTCCTTCTGTCCCAGCAATATACAGATTTTCATTGTGTCGCTGTATTGTCGTGATTAATTAATCATGATTATTAATCATGCTTTATTGTGATCCCGATCAATCAAATTCAAAAATCGTAACTGTCTGGTTGGTGTATACCCGGGACTCCCTTTAGGGCCAGAACAAAAACTGTCATTTTCTATGCAGTAATCTACATTATTGATTAACGTCTTTATCCGTCCACACACAGATGAAACACACAAACATGCTAGTGCTCTTGAACGTTAATGACGCATAGCTTACGCAGGAATCTCTTCTTCTTCTTTCACTGAACTGTTCATTGTAACTGCTTTAGGTGTGAACTAAACCGATCTGACAAGCACACACATTCTCTCTCTCTCTCTCTCTCTCTCTCTCTCCACCGCACACACACACACACGCCTGCGCACACATCACAAGCATCAAATCATCCATATAATGCTGACAGCCGGTATTGCTCTGCAGAGAGATATTACTTAGCTGTATTGCACTGCTTGCACTTGCAGCAGAGGGAAGCATATTACTCAGAAATACTATTTAGGTGTGAGACAGTGGCTGACTGCTGTGTACAAGCTGTGGGGAAATAGCTTTCCTCTCAGCCCTTATAGCTCACACTGTGACTAACTCCAACGGCGCAACGCACTGCAGTCCCACCAGGAGCCACCGTGCTGCTCTGACACAACGACACAACGACAGTCAGAGAAACTCCTTCAAGTTTAAACAGTGCAGTGTGAAGGGTTTTAATAAAACAGGTCATGACCAGTGATGGACAACACTGCTCCACACACTGCACTGTGACCTCTGTGGATAGAAATGTTTAATTACTGCCTTTAATTAACACACCTATGCTCATTTTTCTACATTTTGGGAGCGCACCATGTGTTGCAAATGTATTCTCTAGAATAGAACACAGTGCCATTATCAGTCCGGCCTAATCCATAACTCCCTTTGGTGTCTCTCTCTCTTTCTCTCTCTCTCTCCGACTAAGGTCTTCTTTTTTCTTTAATCCCTGTAGCTGTAATGTTCAGCTAGCTTCCTCATTCAACTCCATTGTCTTCTACTTCATTCAACTCTACATCAGATCATGAATTGTTAAGTGTCCCTGTGTATACTGAGTGGCTCTGAGCTCTGCACCTTCAATTCATTCTGACCATGTTTTTACTTTGCTGAAAAAATGTCTCTGCACTCCAGTAATAGCCATGCAGGAAAAAGAGAAAGTTCAGAGAGCAAAAAAAAAAGAAGAACAGTGGCCTCCAGGAGTTAGGGAGGAGTGTAAATGAAGACGAGAGGAGTTAAGGATTCAGAGTTAAAGGCAGAGTGTTAATTTCAGACGAGGACTGACAGGGGCTGTGAAAACAGGACCTTTCTATATGCTCGTTGAGCAAACATCATTTGCATAGAAGTGATGTCGACCAAGTTCCATGTCGTCGCTGTTTGCATACCTTTGCATAAAATGAATCCCCATCGCAACCTCCGCAGTGATCGTAACAAATGAAGTGACACATCAGAAGGAAAGAAACACCGTGACAAAGGTACAGAAGAAGAGCAAACAGGTGTGTGTGTGTGTGTGTGTGTGTGTGTGTGTACAGGTTGTCTGCTGTTGTCTGTCAGGACATGTGCAATCAACTGAGATTATGAACAAGTTGTTCAGTCACAGTTTCCTTTCCCCCCATATGGTAATAAGGTGTTTTGTAACATCCTCCCACCAGGGGACATCCATCTGGTTCCATTCTTATTAGTGAAGCTATTTAATTGTTTCTTTGCACAAAAGCAGCCAGAAGAAAAGGGATGGCGCCCTCTGCCGACTATAAAAAGAAAGACTACAAAAAAGGTAAAGTAATCTACTTTTCCAAACAGATAAATTAGCTGCTGAAGAAGCTCCACGTCCTCAGCTGCAGCTGAGCTACACAACATTCCTTGACATTGTCTTCTGGTATCCTTTAAGATAGAAATCAAGATCAGAGAGGCAAACCTCAAAGGACAAACGCTGCTGCAAATGAATTCCAGGAGAGTCAGACAGAAAGGAAAGCAAAATAACGATAACATGAAAGATTTCTTCACTAACCATTTTATCTTGCGATCAATTACAACTACAGAGCATGAAATAATGCAGATCCTGCTCTCAGGCAGCGAGCATCGATCAAACACATTCAG